TATATATATATATATATATATATATATATATATATATATATATATATGAACATAAACATGTTATACATACATATACATATACATATATATATACGTATGGATTAAACATAAGACATGGATTGGTAGCCAAGTATGCAAATGAACTATTGCAACTTGCAATACTCCGAATTCTCCAACAACAAATACATTTTCCTGCCAAATTTTATACAAAGGCACTCATCTATGTTTATATATATATGTATGTATATATATATATACATACAAATGTCTATATCTCTATATATTTTACCATTCATTCAGATACACGTTGCATTTGTTGTTATGTGGAAATGGATGAATTTGCGTTTGTTTAGAAATGACAGGCTTATCGAAAAAGGATTTAAATTGTTATGGATTAATATTAAATTAGATGTTGTTAAAATGGTTTTCCAACATATGTATCAAAATGCATGCACGTACGGGCAATGGTGGCGATGATGGCAATGATGATATACGTCTATCTATGCGAATTGCATTTCATTTACACTCTCTGCAAATGAAGATGTTGAGAATTTAATAAAAATGTAGTCATTGGATGATGAATGGCACTTGAATTTACTTTGTTGTGAAGTTACAAACAAAAACTAAACACGAGGTAGATGTATTTCAAATACCGTAATATTTGTAGTGTTTTTTTTTTTTTGTTTTTTTTGTTTTGGACAAATAACTAATAGTATAAAGAGTCCAAATAGGCTTATAGTTCATTGTTACAGATTAATACTGGACACTTTATATTTTATGTATTCATGCTTAACCTTCACAATATGCTTTGCATAATATACCAAAGAATACTATACATATACCTGCAAAAGCAATCTTAGTTGACATAAATAGTGAATTTTATGAAAACTCTTCTTTTCGTCCGTCAAGTATCGTGCATCAAATGATAAATTTGCGTAAACTCTTAAATGTGAAAAAATTAAAATTTCCTCATCTAAACGCATGATTTGACATGCTTGCATTCTGCATTCTTCTTTTAAAGTTAATTATAAAACACGATTTAATACCGTTACCTGTATGGCATTAAAAGATAACAAGAATATGTTTGAGGATATAATATAACGCATCCATACATACAGTCAGTCAGTCAGTCGGTTAATCATACAGCGTACCACATTATAATTTACCAAGTATTTACTACAAAATATTTGCATATTTTTTCTTAATGCATTTTGAAGTGACGGTGTTTAAATAGAAATCCTGAACGCAACTTTCTTCCGAGAAGATTAACAATTATCTTTATATGCAAATATATTTTAAATTTTTTAGTGATTTAATGTGATATATATTGAAAAATGGAATTAATTCAATCATATATCTAACCTTACGCTGAAATTGTATTTTGATCTCATCTCTCTATAACTTAAAAATTAATCTTTTCGTTTTTGCTCATCTCAGTATTTTATTAATTGTCGAATCGTCGACTAAACGATTTTTATCCTCTAACTAATGTATGCTTAGACCAATAAACTATTGCAAACATGGTCATGTACAACTCACAAATATTTTCACACTTCATTTGTGGTCATTAACAAAAAAAAGGTACGCCAAATTTCACTTTCTATTCTATTTCTACGATAGATGACGGACAGCCACCAACGTACGCCAATGTACAGCCACTTATAGCTGAATCAACAAAACAAAATTATATTTTATCACCAAGTTGAGTATAAAAATATGAGGACTAATCCATGAGCGCCATATGGGTATGTTGTCTACAATGTTGTCAATGATGATGATCTAGGTTATGTTTTGCATATATTAGGTTACAGCATTAATTTACGTATAAAGTCATATGCTAGTTGTGTTTGGCTGGAAGTTATATGTTAGGGGACAGAAGGCTTTTATTCATATAACACATCCGCCAAGTACGTAAAATTTTACTGTTTCGCAAAATTCGACTCTATTTATCAACGCAATCTCCTTGATAAGTGACACAGTGAGTTTAATGTTTGATTCGTCTGTTTCGATGTCTATTCTGTACGACAACGTCTCAAGATCCTCACAATACGTTTTAGTTTCCGCATTAATCTGATTTGATTAAAATCTTTTTCTCTGGAGAATCGTTTTGAGATTTGCAAACAGTTAAGAAGTCATCGAAGATCAGACCTGAAGAATGCGGTAGACGAGGCGGCATTTCGAACTTCAATTTATGCAATTCTATTGTCGCTCTGAGTCAACAATGTTTTTGGTTTCACTATGAGTAAGCGAGATACATCGTTGAAAAATAACTTTCTCATGACCAAATGTTCATGTGAAATAGTCAACACGGTGGGTTCTAATATATTTAGGATGTCAAATTTCTTTTGCAGCTACAGGATTTTTTTGTGTATTCTGGTGCAATCTCTTACCTCCAACTCTTTTAACCGCCCATTGCGTTCAACATCATGGGCACCCAATCCTAGTGTAAAATCAGCAAATGATTAACATACTGACATTCTCGAAACAGTGTTGCCCAACACTTTTTAAACCAATGCTGAGTGTGCATTTTTACCATCAAAAAGCTATATTTAATCCGGACAGGAAAATCGAATATTTTTAATCTTTTAAAAATAAGAAAAGCAACTTCACTAAAACCACATGTATGTACCTCGTAAACCATTGTTCGAGACGACGTCAAATTTTACATACATACATAATTTGCGGGTCAACACTTTTTAAAAAATTTGATTGGATACGACATCTAAGTGTACACCCCGGGAATAATTGACGGATATATTAATTTTATTGAGGCACCTTTCGTAAATACTTAGCAAAAACTTATAGTATCATTCGATGTGAAAAGACCACAATACTACTTAGCTGTACTTTGAGCAACATCATAGAGACGTCACAAGTCATAAGCATTATCTTTTTCTTTTTTTATTACATTTATTAACATCTATAAAGCCATAGTCCAATGTACATATTGGCATTATCATCTGCTAATTTTTATCATCTTGCTAATTTTTTTGTGGTTTTCTTGACTTAACAAATTTGTGTTATAACAAAATTGATATTGCAGAGCTTTGTTGTGACTATGTTTGTGCTACCGAATACTAAATTTAATACGAAACCACACGAAGTGATTTCTCTTATGACTAGTGAGCGATCGCAACAACAGAATACATTGGTTGAAATGAAATCAAATATTCGATTATTAATTAATTATTAAATTTCTTTATTGATACTTATGTTAATTCGTTTTATTATAACAAATTCTTATTATTCGTTATTTAGGGTTTTGTTTAATTGAAAAATTAAACAATTTCTTTTTTTAAAACAATTGTCAACATATAACGTAGCGACCGAGAAAACAAAAAAGAGAGAGAAAGAGACGGGCATATTATACTGCTTAGCCTTTCGTATAGCTTTAGCAATGGCTATGTCATTAAACTCTTTGAATTATTCTCAACTGTAAACATATACAGACTAATTTTTTCAATATTTCCTCAGATGTACCCAAACTCAGACGGGCTCTTTGAATTACTCTCATATGTAGCCAAATGTGGACCATAACCCATATGATCATAACTCATGCAACTTAGCATATGTAGTACAAGTATGGCGGCGTACATTTGTTGTTGTATGCCGTAATTTTTCTATACATACCTGGCGTAGTAGAGTTTTCCGTGTTTATGTTTGTTCTATTACTCTTGCATAATTTGTCTCTCTCATTGTGCTCTTCTAATTAAAAAAATTACTCAATTCAAAAAAGTGTTGATAATTGTGAACTTTATGAAAAACGCTAAATAGAATTAACCAAGGTACGGATATGTTGAAAATAAGAAAAAGTTAAACCTTTGCGTTTTAGATTTCTTTGTAGAAAAGTTAAACTGCAATTGAATTATAATAATACCAAACTAATTTCAATTTTTAAAATTTTTATTTTTTATGTTACCAATTCCGAAGTGAATGTTCATTGTGCACTGTGTGATTTCATTCGAAAAATTAATTCTTTATATAAAATTTTTAAGAATAGTGGGCACTATTAGACAAATGCTGGAAAGGTACCGTCGAAAACTACAACTAATCAAATAGGTCGGAAAAATATTGAAACATAACAACAAATTTCCAAAAAGAGACTTGTAAAAATTTACATACAACTGAAGCACATGCTCACGATGGGTAAAAATTATTTATATAAAATTTTAATTTGGAACATATTATTATTATTATTATTATTATTATAAACTTAGCCAAAGAATAAATTCTAAGACTGATGTCTTAAAGCACTAGCATCTAAGCCTTTCGGCTTTATTAAAAACTCTACCGCACTTGAGATTTGAACCCACGACCATTGAGTTGCTAGTCGAAACTCTTGCCTACCCGGCCACTCAGGCGGATAATTTGTAATTTATTTTTTGCTAAAAAATGCGCAGTGATATTAAATATGGCATAATTGCCACTTCCAAATATATCTATTATTGCTTTTTTATGACTTAACTATTTATAATTTTATAGTGATCCTGCTCATATTAAAAGAGTTCAACTATCTATCCTTTTATTACATGACAGTTGTTGCAAAAAGCCGAGACTATTACTACGAAAATTAGAATATGACAACATTGTTATGTTATTTATTTTGACAACCGAACAGCTGATCTCGTCTTTTTAAGAGCTTATGCAAATTGTGAGTGATTTTTTTAAACGGTCTGTGGATAAATTGTGTTTTATAAGATAATTAAAATAATTAACAACTGAAATAAAAAACTGAAAGATAATGGACGCGCCGTTAGAGTTGTCTTTGGCTGAGATACGCAAATATATGTTATCAAATGGCTGCAAAGTTACGAATCATGCACTTGTTAAACATTTTAGATGTTTCTTAACAAATCCCGACACACAAAGTGAGTCACTCAGTGTTCGTAATAAACTTGATTGTAAAAATAATAAGTAAACTTGTTGCTGTAATTCAATAAAACACCAAATATTGTTACGTTTATTTTCTACTCTTCTTTTTTAATATATTGTTTACTGTAGGCGAAGCACGCAAGGAGTTTAAAACCTACGTGAATGTATTAGCAACCATTAAAACCGAGAACAATCAAAAGTATTTAACATTGCGTAAAAAATACCTGAACGAATGTCCGTCTGATGATGTCGCACAATGCGCGATCTTAGCTGCTGCTAGTGAATTAACACCCAGTAGTCCGGGAGCAACTTCTTTTACTTCTGATAATGAAGCTAGTCCACCATTTCGTCAACCGCCTCCATATAAGCCACCACCCGAAGTTAATTCACCTATTAAAATGTCGATAGCTACTAGTGGTGGCACTGTGGAAACTGAAATCATTGAAAATTTCCGAGATTGTGTAGATGAGTTCACTTCAGCCATGGATCGACTTGATACTAAACGTCGGGAACGTCAACAGCCAGAAAGTCTAAATAAAAACCGAAGTGAAAACCACAACTGTGTCGAAAATAATGGAAGTGTAGTTTCGAATGATTCAATCAATAAGGAAAACATACCAATTTTTTCGTTTTCTTCAGTGTCGATCGAAAAATTAACAGAAAATACTAACAGTAAGTCTTCAGGCACCGAAGTAAATACGGAAAACGCCATTAGTGTTAAAGAGGCCACGCGAAAATTTAATCGCATGGCCTCAGAAGAAGAAGCTAAAATTATATCGCCATCTTTTCAAAAGAAAAAAACGGAAAGGGTAAGTGTAATTTTTAATGGACTTGCGGTTGCAAAACGGTATTCAATTAAAACATGCATCTTTTCGATAATAATTAGATTTTTTTTCAAAAAAAGTTGTGTTAATTTTATATCAATCAATCAGGAAAACTCTGCATATAATCTTGTTTCATTTCAAATAATTTTGCAGTATATAGCTCTAGTGATGCTAGAGATAGATATAACAATTTTGAGGATGTTTATATTTAAATTTGACTTTCACACGAAGAACAACTCTTACATATATACGTATATATTGTATATGTGTTGCTTATAATCTGATTTAATAAACAAAAAAATTTGAAAGGAAAAAGAAAACTGCTGGTGCCTGATTTGTTTGGTTTAGTTAGCTAGCTGACTGACTGGCTTGCCTGCTTGGTCATATGTCTTGTCAACGACTTATTCGAAAATTCTATGAGTACTTGTAAACTGTCACATGATGTCACGTAGCAATTTGAAGTTGTTTAGCTATTATTACCACATTTTCCTTCAGCTATAAAACAACTAGCATACAATGATGCATCTAAATAACAGCAGCAATAACAATAACAACAACTACCACTTCGTCTTGAAGACATTGAAGATATGCACATGCACAATATAAGCACATATGTGCCTGGGCATAACGTAATCTCCAATACAAGCAGTTTTCACCCAACCAAATTATGTACTGTTTTGTTTGGTTGTGATGCGTTCTTTTGTACGTTCATTGTATGCATTAAATAAATCCACTTATTTTATTAGCAGACAATAAAAAGTGTTGTATACAAGCGCACATATAAACTCACGTGCACTAATTTACAAGTTCATGCACTTAAATTTATAAAATCGTATAAACATAAGAATAATGATGATAGTAGTGATGGTAGTGGTGGTGGCGGCAATAGTTAACTTTGTCTGGAGTTGCTCGGTTAAGCACCAAATATAGTCTGAGCCCGCTGAAGTTGCTGCCGCTAATGATAATGACAATGATGGTGATCATGATGGGAATGATAATGATGTTGTTGCATCGTCTTAAGCACCGCAAGAGAAGCAGGAATATTTTGGATGAATATCTCACAGATAATGGTATGCAGTGTTGCTTTTCTGTTGCCTGGTAGTTCATAGTATATTTTTGATTTTTGGTCTAATCCGTTTTACATTTAATACAAATTTTTTCTTGTTCTTGTTATCGTTGCTGGCATTCGTTTTCACTATGGATATCGTAGTTGTTTTCAATGTTGTTTGTTGTATGCTATTCAAGTTCTTGCATTAGTTGTTTACCAACATTTCTCTAATCACTGGTTATTGTCGGTTTGGTTGTTGCATATTTATGTGTTGTACACTTGCTCTCTTTCTTCGAAACACTCTGCGGTAACTCTGCAACCGTTCTATCGTTTTCATTACTTCAATGTGTATTTCAATTTTTTAACATTTTTCTTATTTAACTTTAGACTCTTTATTTTGTAGTTATTTCTTTATTTATTTTTTATGTTGTCGTTTGGACCACCAACCAATACTCTCCGTCCTGCCGTATTGTGCAGCGTTTTACAAACAGCAGCCTTTCGAGTATCAGCCACAAACATTGTAATGTTATGTTAAATACGTTATTTTCGCACTTTTAAGTTATGTTACTTGACTGCGGTTGTTGCTGTTGTTGTTTTACAATGTTGTATAATTCGTTAGTTGAAAGTTTAACCACCAAAGAAATGAAATGAGAAAAAAGCAGAAATTGTTAAGATATGTTTTCAAGCTGTTTTACATGTTGTAGTTGTTGTAGTTGTTGTTTAAAATTTTTTATCACTCTTGTCAATACACATTCTTACATACACGTATGCAAGCATGCATGCTGGCGCAAGTTATTGCAGCTGCAGCAGTTCCAGCGATGAGAAGGGAAGCGCTTTTTATTAGAAATACCATTAAAACAGGTGATCTTTAGATTTTTTTTCTATTCATTTATTTTGTGGAAATCATACTTCAGGTTCCTTGAAGGATAATATCGCCTTTTGTTCGCTAAAAATAGAGTCGTTACTTAGAGTTTACATAAAAAAACAATGCTTTTCTTAGTATTCAGGTTCCTCCATATGAAAGTAAAAGTTTGAAGCGCATAAATTTTTTTTTTTTTTAATTTTTGAAGAACGATATAAATTTGTGACAGATGTTGCAAAACAATCATTATATTTTTTTTGACCTCCCTTACGGTACTAGAAATTTTGTATCTGCGATGTAGTTTTGAAGAAATTTTGTATCTACGATCCTGGGTGGTTCAGTTCGGCGATAATACCACGGCTATGTTCCAAAGACGAATTTTTAAACCATCTCTGCTTTCCCCTATATAATTCTCTTTACATATCCCTTTTATCTATTTTAGAGTTCTCTAACCAATGCCAAAAAGGACATAATATCGCTTAATCGGAAACCTATTATAATACTACCGCTTAATTAGAAACCTTTTCCATACAAGAATCAATATATGAAGAGCGAAATTGAAGATAGATATTGTTCGCTTTTTTCGTCATAGAAAATTGTTAGTAAGACAAATGTTTTGCATATAATATTACTTTTTTAGAGGAATGTACTTTGTTATGTTACTTCTTTTTAATACCTATCGCAGAAAGTAGAAAGTACAAAATTAATACATAGAAGTATACATCGGAATACCTTGATAATAGAAGTGTACATCGGGCACTCCAAGTATACATATTCTGGATTGACGTGATTAGCGGAATTAAGTTCGCCATCAACTAGCTAGTCGGTCCATTCGCTGGAATCACGGTTATGATTATATTTTTTCTTACCATTTCAGTTAAATGTAAAAATCAGCAAAAACCGGTTATAGGTTCATCCACGAGTGCCAAACGACTGACAATTTGCTTCATTTCCGAGTTTACAGGTTTAAAGTTGTAGAACTTCGAAATTTGTTCGTTATGAATTATTAGACAGCATTTGCTAATAGGAAAGAGTATGTTCATGACGACGACAAACATTTGATTTATTTGCGCGGTAAGAGGAATTAGTTTCGTAAGTGGAGCATTCTTTGTTGGCCTGAGGCTTCTTTACTATATTGATATGAAACAAATCAACAACAAAGACGCTATTCAGTTCACTGAGGTATTGTAATCTCTGCATATTGCGTCACTCTCCTCTCCTTTTCAAATTAAAGTCGCAAAGATTAATGCAAACACTTAAAGCGCGGCTTATGTTATTCGCTTAAATTCCACTGATCAATTTAGGTAATGGTCGAAAACTAGCCTTAAAGTTACCCTTAGCTTGTATGCAAGCAAACCAGCATCCATTCTTTCGATCTATCGAGTTCTAAAGTGCAATAAGTATTATATATATTTAAAATACAGTACCTGCTTGGCATTCTCACGCGCCAATAGCCGTATTTATCTAGTCCCCGTACTTACGTATAGTTAGTTGCTAGTTGTTGATGAACCCTTAATCGTGCTGAGGGTATTTCCGAACTTAGCATGCCGAGTTTGATAAAAAACAATTTAAGATCAAAGTTTTAATGGTATATGGTTTAGGGTTTCTTATATCTGTTTATAAGATAAAAAACAAAAAAAGTGAAACTGAAAGCAATATATTAGGTGGTCCGGAAATTTCTTTCGGTTTTCTTCGCCAGCAGGTTAAAATAACTTCTCAGGTAACTGGTCCGATAATAAAGGTTAAAAGTATGCACAGCTTTGTAGAACAGGGTTATGTTTATTTCGTAAAAAAGTTTCGAAGTGACCGGTGAGGCGTAAATAAGAATTGGAAAATCAAAGTGAGCATGTATTTCAAACAAGGTTACGGCCGCAGAAACACAGAGAAATATGTCCTGGGTATGGAACTAATGCTGTAGCAGAACGCACTTGCCAAAATGGTTTGCGAAATTTCATTCTGAAAATTTTCAGTGAAAGTTTCACCGCGTTCTGGTAGACTAAATATCGTTGATGATAACCAACTAAAAGTTACGATTGAATGGACCATTTGTTAATATATAGGATTTATTATCAACAGTTGTTCTATTCTAAACAATAAAAGAGAGAAGAGGGAATACAATTGACTTGTTAGCCTATTTAAAGTAATACTTAAAAATCCACGTTTTAGTTATCTAGTAATGAAGTCAATATCACGATGTACGCCTTCTATCTACTATCGTATCAGCTTATAAACAGATAAACATATACATAGTCTTCATTTAAATTGGGTCAACAGGTGCTAATAAATAAAATTTCCAAGAGAAAATTTTGCTTGTAAATATAATTTTCATCTGACTTCAGATAAAAATATAAACAGTTTTTGCATTACGAACTGTTAAAAACAAATTATTCACACAAATAAATTTCAAATATTAAAAAGAACAAAAAAACATAAAATATTATATTTTTCTGCTAATTAATCATGACGATGAAATGCATGACATTCTTTTGTCCGTTGTGCCAAGATAGATAAATGCCGGGATATTTATAGTATTTACAAAATGAATGCAAAAACTCACGTATATCTCTGCGGAGAGTGCAAAACAAAAATAAAAAAGAAAAATTGTTTAATTTCCCCCATTGTTTGCTTTAATAAGAAAATTGTAATTTTTTTATTGTCCACTGCACAAGACAACAGTAAGCGGCACAACTCTCCCACATATATACTTGGAAGAGTACATTTTTATATCCACTACTAAAAGTGTAAAAGCATTAAGTTTCTCATTTCATATCGAAAAAAGTCAAGTGTTTATAAAAAATCTGTTTTTATCCAAGAATCGTGAATTAATTTACCTAATATAAAAAAAAATTCTATAACAACCTAAAGCCTGACTTTGGCGTCTTTATTTATTTAACCATATACAACACTTTCTTATTAGGGAAAAACATATGATAGTACATTTAAGAAAGCCTAATAAAACAACCTGGAAATGATTGTTAATTTTTACATAGCTCTTTAGTCAGCTACTTACGAATAATATCACTGCAGGATTTCATGCAAATATATATAAAAATTTGTTTTTCATCATAAGCGAGG